ACTTCCTCTTTTGACCTAGAAGTGGAACACTCTTGTTGCCAAAGCGTAATCCACAGATTTAAGGAGGGCATCCACAATTTCTGGAGAGTGTCATTCCCAGCTTCTCAGAGTAGGTTAAAACAGAAAGTCAAGGAAAGAAAATGGGACGTAGAGAAATCTCCAATATCATTATTTTCAACCACCAGGGATTTGAAAACACTAATTACTGTCGTATAAGAGTTTCAGGACCATGAAGCATCCTTCTGATGATGTCATGAAGCTCTACTCCATTGAGTATAAATGACAGTGTTGGTGGAGGTAAAACACTGTAGAATTTCAGAGACTCTGGAGGAGACACCAAACCAGACTATAGCATTTAGCTCGATGATGATAGATTAGTTCTTATCTAATGTAACTGTAAGTCAGAGCCTGGTACATCAATGATTACCATATACAGTAGCATTTAGGATTAATGCATAGTAAATAGTGTTGTTAGAAGTCTAATTCTGAGGACAGTTCTTAACTTTGCCCTCACCATAAGTTCAGAAAGAACCTAAAACTCATTGGGCTGATACTCGTCTTACGAGAGGGATTTCTGCCATGACCCAAACAAATTTTCTTGCCATATCTTATCCAACTCACCTCATTAACTACCTAACTTGCCCCAATGGCATCCATCACATCTGATTCCATCCACATCTTATCATGTGCCATTCCAGAAAAAAAAACAAACTTGACACTCACAGGATATTCCAGAATTCACAAACATCCCTTGCTTCTGACATCTTTAAAAGTCTATTTTGCACCCAGACAAACTCTGGGAGTCTGGATCTGCACTACACAGTTCCTGGTCATTGCTACAGACATGGCAGACAGGGGGAAATCGCCCATGAGGGTGAGAACCTGGAGGTGGGAGCTTGGTGGAGCACAAGTGGGATTTCCTCTTCCCCCCTCCAGGAGTGGAGCCTGCCTGGGTCAGTGCATTCTCAGTCCTTTGGAGGAACACAGAGCACAGTAGGAAGAAGGTCTTCCTTCTCCATTCAGCCAGAATATTTGCTACTAACTTCTCTCCAATACCTCACAGTCACTTTATTTCTTCTACTGTACCCACCTTCCACCAAAGCTCATGTTCTACCACTCTAATGCCTGTAAAGTCTTCCCTCATTCACTTTCACACATCTCAACCCTCAACACCATGAACTGTGCATGTTTATGTGCTGTCTACTCACTTGCTTGATTTACTTTCCCACCTGCATCAATAATAACAGTGATGCCAACAACTTTCATTTCCACTAATGTCTGCTTCGTTCTCATCCAGGGAGGAAAACAGTCTCCAATAAGACAGAAAGGCATAAGGTGCGTGTTGGGCAGCTTGACATTTGGATCCTCACTACTGATGAGGAGAGAATCCTGATGCTGACTGCCCTAAGTGGCTGGTTCACCATTTCTAAGCCTCTGGAGTATTATTGGAAGCTGTCCTTGACCAACTGTCCCTTTAACTTAACCAAGGCCTTCTGACAAACATGAGAAGCTTCCTTCTTTTATGTCTGTACTAAATGACAAGGAAAGACTGAAGTAATATGAGCCTTGCACCTCTGGCACAAGAGGCAAAGTGCAAAAAGGCAATGAACAGCAATGCAAGGCAGGGATACAGTGAGCACTAAGGCAGCGAGCAAAGAACCCAGAGGTGCAGCCTGGTTCTGTTCATGAGCTGAAGCTATGTCTCTGAATGCAGTGTCCTTGCTGCAGCATTACAATGTTAGTTGCCAATGCAGCCCAAGGTGCAGCATTGAAGTGCAGAAGCATCCTGAATGTGGATCCAAAATGTGCCATGACAGTTCTTAGAGTTTGGCCTATATTGGATGCCATTGTCTGTGGACAAGCCATGGAGCTTGCCCTGACATATTGGTGCCCAATGTCCAACCTGGAGGCTGTTCAGAGCAAGTGATGACCTGAATTCAGCAGGTACCAATTTTGATTTTCATGTCGCGTTTTCTTGACAGCTAGCTTGTTTGGAAAGTTTGGTAAGGTAGAAAGATGAATATTAATGACGTGAGCTGGTAACTAACAAGGCATTTAATAAGCAATACTCCCTCTCATTTGGTAGTTTGCCACTGCCTTGCAAGAAGCTTGCCATGCCACTTGCTAAAAGCATAAAAGATGGAGCAAGATGTTCCTGAAGTTGAGACAGACATCGCCAGACTTCTCACTTGACTCTTCCACAATCTCTCCATAACCCATGCTGCTCAGACTCTAATACGATTCAGCCTGTCATGTAACATCAAATCACATGAAAAAAAGGTGATGACATGTACGTGTTGTATTGCTCAGAAATTTCTGATTGTAGTAAAATTCAAGGATCAGCCCTGAGATTGTCTGAAGAAGAGGATACAAAAAAAAAAATCATTGATATCGCTTTAAAACCAGCTAGCAGCCAGGAATGCATTGAACAAACTGCAGTGTGAAGAAAACATGTCTGAGCAGATACACTCCCAAAGAAACAGTCTAAAATGTCATTTTCAGCCAACATTAGGATAAATAAGCCTTTAAAAGACACAATGACACGTAAAAGTACCATAGCTGCTTAGGGAAGTTTTGGGTATACACTAAAACAGGCTGATTATAAAACACCCAAAGCAGATTTTATCCTTCAGGAGAAAGGATAAAGACATTTTATTCCCACTTGAGAAAAAAAGCAGGCTGAGGAGCACATATAAGACTTCAGACAGTGAGTTAATAAATTTCTGAACTACTCCCTCAGTGACAAAGGTAACAACAAAAGGTTAGGATAATTCTTCATGTACAGGTTTAAGGAATAATGATTGGAAAAGACAAAAGTATCAGGAATGCAAATTGCTCTTGCAATTCTAAGTTTCAGAGCTGTAACAGTGGAGTTAATGAAATCCTTATTTCAATTGTTTAATGAAAAATACAATGTCTTATTTGGCAAATAAGATGTTTTAGCAATTTTATTCATTAAAATAAAAATAAGTTGAATATCAAAAAGAACTTGAATCTAAATCACACAGAGTTGAACTTGGTACAGAAAAAAAAATGTAATACTAGGATAGATGTCTTTGATACAGTCAAAAATTAATTGAGTTATATTAAGTGAAGCCACTTTGAGAAATTTCTACTCACAGATCCTTTGAAAATCTTTCAGCTGTCTTCTAAAAGGAATATCTTTGTTTATCTCTATGAAGACAGCATATTGGTAAAGCAAAATTGAAACTAATATCAAAAATAGCATTGAAAATAACAAAAATTTGAAGAGCTTTCAGTTTTAGAACTACAACAATTTGTTTACACCAACAGATATTCAACAACAACTTTAAACAATTAAGAATACAACAAGGCAAGAAAAAACTGAGTGTAGTATAAGGGGATCAAACACAACAATATACTTTCAAATCAAGAAAATAACCAACATCAAAAAGTACCTATCAACAGTCAAACAATCAAGAAGATCGTCCTATGACAATGTTTCAAAAAGAAAAAGGAGCTTTCAAATTCATTTGATAGATCAGTGAATTGGCAGACATAGAAAGTACACGTCCTAAGATTTTAAAAACTTCCACATTGAGCTTAAACAAAATTTGGAACAGTGTAGCACTCTTCTCTACTATATGAGAAGTACATCAGATCATGTGTTACAGAGGCAACAGATCATTGCAAAACAAATAACATTTAATAACCTTCTAACAGCTTTTGATCAGTATTTTACACCAAGAACAAGCATAACACTGGTGTGATTATGCTTCAATAGCAGATGTCAACTTCTAGGAAAGTTTCTAGATAGCTTCATTAACAACCTCTATATACTGTCTGAATCATGCAACTGTGGAAATTTACATCAAGCTTATTTGAAAAAGAATTATCATTGGTCCCTCAGATAAATCAGTTGCTGAAGCTCTTTAATCAAAAAAGAGGATGTAATGCTGGAATAAGGAGTCCAAATAGCAATGGATAAAGTCAAGAAAATTATTCAAGAAGTATTATACAATAAGAGTTCAACTAAATGCTGCACATTCAACAAAGTGTGTTAATAGCATAATCAAAATAACCATCTGACCAGAGAAGACAAATCCCACATCTGAACAAAATGCCGCATGTGACAACAAAGCAATCTAATTACACAGAATCTTGTCACAGGTATGGTTGCAAAACCCCACATCAATAAAAAGAAAACTGAGCAGTCTTAATGCCAACAATGTACTCAATGTAGCAAAAGATGTCACTTCTTGATGATGTGCTATAATCTGAAGAACATATCACAAAAGAAATCAAATTCTTCCCAACTAAAATGTACGTCCATATCTTGGAGCATTAAAGAACATATCAATACTGCAAAGAAACAAGCTTCTTCACATGATGAACAAAATGCATGGATGGACTGCTTCATTTATCATCAGGGAACTAATCATGGTATCTGATGTGAACAATGAAGCAGAAGACAAACGATCACCTCACAATCTGCATATACTCCTGCAGTTATATCACCAAACATTTCTTCAGCAAGACGGATTAAATCTCCAATAGCATGGAAGACACCAGGGAAGAAGCAAAATCATTAACTTAAATGTTTTTATACCTGGTTGTCGACGTTCTTTGCCCATCTTTTGATGCAGAGGATTCAAGTCAAAGACTAGGTGAGAGATGGGAGTCGTACAAAATGTATCATTAATGTTAGAAGGTAAAGCAACCTAAGTAACTTATTTGAGAATGTACATAACTATTACACAATATTTATGAAGAAAATGTTGGAAAGTAGTGTTAAGTAAGGTCTTGAAGGTCGTTGAGCAACCTTATGATGATGTCACAGAGCTGCAGATCACTGGGCATAAATAGTGTTGATGGAGTTCGAATACATTTGAATTTTAGAAACTCTGACAGCAAATGATACCAAAGTACAACATTGGCATGGACACTCAAAGAAGATAAATTAGTCATTAATTAAATCTGTTTGTTTTATTTACAAGTAACATGTAAAGCAATAATTACATGAAAATTTATTAAATAGTGTTACTTTGATGAAGTGAAAATCTGAAGTCAGTCCTTGAGTTTCTTTTCTACAACCAGTCTGGAAAGAATCAAAATTAGTGTGTCATAATACTACACAATGTAAAAGTTACAATAGATTACTAGTTAATAATTTCTATAAGGCAGTTCTAAATATTAAGAATTTTCATGGTTTGTTTAGAAATGACTACAAAATAGAGAAATCAGTTAAAACTTTCAATGTTGCTTGGTTGACCACCTTTTTATTGCAAGTAAATGACTGCATTAATGATGACCAATTTAGAGACTTAAATAAGTGCACTAATAAGCTTAATCAAAGTTAAATGAGATGTCAAAAACAAAAATAAAAATTTCTGGAAAAGGTCAGCAGGTCTGGCAACACCTGTGGAGAGAAATGAGACTTAATGTTTCGGGTCCAGTGACCTTTCCCGAAACCCTTCCATTCTGAGGAACCCAAAATGTTAATTCTGATTTCTCTCCACTGATGCTACCAGACCTGCTGAGCATTTCCAGCAATTTCTATTTTTGTTTCTCATTTTCAGCACACGCAGTTTTTTTTTTGTTAAATAAGATGTGTTTAATAGGAATAAAGAGAGTGAATTTAAATGAATTTCCCTGCTGTTTGCCATTGCAAGAAATTAGTACATTATGTGTTGTATCAAAGAAGCTGCAACTTACTGTTCTGAGCTCTCCAACAACAAGATACATGGCAATTACTTCGATATTAATTTCACAAACTGAATCTCTCCATTGCATTAATGAGGGCAGGCTTATGGGAATTAACTGCACAACTTTGTTGAAGAAATTTTCTGAAGAAGGGTGCAGAACCGAAACGTCAGCTTTCCTGCTCCTCTGATGTGGCTTGGCCTGCTGTGTTCATCCAGCTCTACACCTTGTTATCTCTAACTTTGTTGATGTATGTGTTTCAGTAGAACAACGCAAAAGACTCAGTAAGTAATTGATGAAATTGTACATGTTTGATGGGATGTTTCACTGGCCTTAAATGGAAGGACTGAACTTTTTCATATCCCATTTCTTATGCCAGTCATTAATTAGAGAGACTTTTGTGTTGTTCCACTGAAACACATACATTAACAAAGTTGAACAATTAATTCCCATAAGCTTGTCCTGATTAATGATTTGTTCTGTTGAAGGTGTTGAAATCCTAAACCTCAAATCAGCGACAAAATATGGCCACAGACTTACCACTAGGATTGTGCCGATGAAGCAAGAAACTTTAAAAATTTCAGCCAGAAAATTTCTGACCACTTTCAGCAAAGCCCAATTGAGATATTCTGATCCCTGAGGTGTTTTTAGCTCTCTTTTGCTGCTTCAGGACAAGTAGAAGCACTGTATTAAGTATTGTTAGAGATGTTTTCAGAAGTTTTTGGATACACAAGAGGCTGGTGTTGGACTCTGAGAAGGAAGTCAGAGGAGTTGGAAGGCCTGTCAATCATAAGTCTGCCTCCAGTGCTGGGGGCTATAGATGCAGTTTTTCTTGGGCTGCAGCATGAATTGTATTCAATTACATGCAATAAAGAGAGGATGCAATGTACAGAGGGACAAAGAGTACTCTCAAACAAAATGCCACATCCACCAAGCATATTCTGTGAAAACTTTTCTGAGCTCCCCATCAGCCTGGAGAAAGGCAATTATATTTTTCCAAATCTCCAGCTGGACTGCAATATATGATACCACTTATCAATGATACCATTATTCAATTTCTAAAGGTCAGTTCTAATGACAGTTAACAATTCATAGTTCGCTGAGCATCACTGTAGCAGGGCGCAAGGCATTATCATGGCATTGTGGGTCCTAAATCAGAATGGGGACATTCACCACAAGTGCAAGGGCTACCATTCCAGGAACATGCAGTTAGTGTGCAACAATGCCCAGAAGATCATCTCCGTGAATGCCTGCTACCCTGGCAACAGGTAAGATTCAGCCATAATCATCAACTTTATGCCACCATAAATCTGTCTCATGATTCTCCTCTGGCAAATGATTGCAACACACCTGCAATGAAGCCCATGCAATGATCAGGAATATTGCAATAAACTAAAAATATCTGAAGCATGTACTACCCACCTGTTGCTCTCTAGCAAGTAAAAAATACATTTATCCAGCTGTCTTGGGATATAGAACCCTGAGGCATCCCTTATGCAACAGTTGATAGCAAACTTAGAAGTTCATAATGACAGTTACCCTAATGATGTTGCACTGTGATCCATAAGACCAGTTCTGAATCCATAGTTCTGGTTGCAATAGATTTAATGAGGATGTACTTAGAGTAGTGCAGATTTTTCACACTTATCCCTGCTGAGGTTCAGTTAGGAGAAGTGCTTCCAATACACACTGGTTGGATATGGACTCCAAGTGAGAGCTTTTCTTCCCATTCTCAGCCTTCCTCTTCTATCAGTTTGCCCTGATTTGTATGTCATCTGCTCAATCTACTGTCATGTTGAATCGCAAGAGGAATGTCAACCCATGTTTGGAAATAACTGGGTTGAGTGTAAACCTTGGAGTTATGACCAACTCCTTCAGTATGTATATTACTCCCTGTGGATTCCAATAACCAAAATTATTATAGAATTATCAAACAGGCAGAGAATTATAGCAACAAGCAGAAGAAATCAAACAACTAACCTGAAAGTAGTTGATAACCCCAACTGGGGCATTGAGGGCTCCTTCGCACCCTTGAGTGTGTATTCTACTTTATTAAGGGATGGCATTCACTAAAGAGTTGAGATACAAAATGGCACAACTCACAGAAAATTATTGATGCAAACTGATGTCATGATCTACCTAGGCTACATGTTTCCAGTGGATGCTCATTCCCACTGCACTCACCAATATGAAGTTCAGCATGACTCACATCAAAAGTGTACATCAGCATCAAAACTACCTTTTAGATACCTAACTTGTAATACCTAGAGAAAAAAAAACTGGCTCTACTTGATGTGCTGATAATTTGAACATTCTGTAACCCATCTCCACATTGCTACTTCATGTTCATGAACAACTTCTTGTAGATAATGTACTTTTAAATTCTGTTGTGGGACGTCGCAACTTGGATGTGTATTAGATATTGGTCACAGCATAGCCAGGATACCACTATGTTTGCTCAATATATTTCAATTTTTTTCACTAACAAATTATCTCATAAATTTTTCACTAGAGGATCAGTGTGTACAACTTAGGCCATTCATCAGCAATATCCAAATGGTCATAAATTCTGTGCCAAACAATTGGTGAATATGAATAGATTTTTGGTATAACTAGCATGCAGTTCTCACTGAAGCTCTACTATGATATTTTCTACATTCATACCTGATTACGTACTGCTGGAGATTATCCAAATGAAAGTGTGTTTGGAGTAATTAGTCATAAATTTGGGCTATGATTCCAAAACCCGACTGTAATAATATCAAAGGCTCTCTGATGCAGAAAATTAAACCTTTCTTCAAAACCTGTGGGAACTTTGCAATTACATAAATTATTGGCAAGTCACGTGATATGATGTACCTCAAATTTAAGAAAGTGGGCAAATCAGGAAATCCTCACGAGTTCTCTATCTTAAGCTTCTCAACATTCTAATAATCTCCTGCTGCCTATAAAGTCATGTTGCATGAAAATTCATGGTTGCTTTTACCTTCACAGTTTGTAAGTGATAAAGTACCTATCAAAGAGGTTGATTGAAGGTCAGCATGTAACTGATGGCATTTTCAATAAGCACTTTTGGAGTGAGTTGAAAATGCCATCAGCATTGCTATTTTATCTGTGCAAAATAGTTTGTCCTTGATCTTAAATTCTGAGAGGGAGATAATTCTTCAATTTCATTCTGATGTTGCACAGTTCCAGAAGTTTAAAAAAAAAACTTAATTTCCACGAATGCTGTTTCATAAATGAATAAAAGAATAAATGCACACACATCTGCCTAGAGTTTCCACTTTAGGTACCATTGTTTGTTTTTGATTTAAATTACATTCAAAACTGTGCTAGTTTCAGGAAATGCTTTATCTTTCAAGTTTCCCCTCAAACTCTTCTTCAATTTGCCATAAAAATGCACCATGATGAATACAATCCAGTAATGTTTTAGAATCTGATTTTATTTTGTAAACAGTTTGCTGTAAGTAATATGCTTGTATTTAAGAATTTGTATCAATGTTAATTAACTTGTTTCAGCAAATCATGTGGCATTATTCAACATGCTTCTGAACAATCATTTACATTGCCTGTTAGAGTTATTTTATGCAAAACTGAAATACTTGGACAACAATGTTCTCTTATAATGTAAAGCAAGAATGGGATTTAGCTTGAAAAGTTGACACATGCCAGACATTGCATAAAATTGTACTGAACTTAAGGGCATTTAATGATTAAAAGTTCTATTTCTTTTGTTTAATATATGTTCCCCAACATCTCCCCCAGTCCCATTTTCTTTGTTTTATTTAATATTCTATCTATTGAATTCATTTTAACTATGATTAACCACAGAGAATCTAAAATCGTGTTGTAAAGTAAAAGAAAAATCATTCCAAATAACTGGCAATGAGGTATTTACTTTACTCAGCAGGGTCATTCTGACATTCATTTATTAATCTTTAGTAAATGGAAAAGCTTGGCACCATTTTCAAAGAGATGTTGCAATTTAATAAGCTGTTTCCCTCCTCAAACTATGGCACTTTAAAAAAAATCAGTTATCCCATATTCATAATTCTTTAGAACAAATGAAGTAACAAACACCATGCATTTTTTTTTGAACGAAGCGTTTTTGAGGTGGTTAACAAATCATTTTCAAATCTATGAATTAAGATGAAATTAAAATCTTTACATTGCCAGTTCATCATGTTCTGAGTGAAACTGAACTTGTTCAAATCTATCAGTCTCTGGTTGGTGAATATCCAAGTACAGATATGCTTATAGTTTGAAACCATTTGGAATTTTCACTTAGGAATTCCAAAAGGACATCTGATCTGCCAAGTACAAAACAATGGCCTGGATTTTTTGGTTAGTACTTAAAAAAAATAGTGTCAGCTATTCCTTACACTTATTCTTTTCAGCAGACTCTCTATTAGATTTTGCATTGTATTTGCTTTAATCAGACTATGTGTAATTTAAGATCTGTTTTTCAGTTTTAAAACAAAAGCTGAAACTATAAAATTTATCTTTGTGCATGAAACATGTATTTTAATTGGTTTGTATACAAACCTGATCAGTTAACCACACCTATAGAACAATTTGCAAGAATGGTTTCAGGAATGAGAAATTTCAGTTATGAGAATAGATTAAAGAGGTTGGAACTGTTTTCTTTGGAGGGAATAAAGCTAAGATGAAATTTGATAGAGGTTTTCAAATTCATGAGCAGGTTGGATAGAGTAGATAAGAGAATGTATTCTTCCTGGTAAAAGAAAAAAGGAGAGATCATTGATTTAAAGTGATGTGCAAGAATCAAGGCTGATGTGAGAAAAATCTTTTTTGCACAGCGAGTAGTTAGGGTATGGAATGTACTATCTGAAAATGTGATGGAGGTAGGTTCAATTGAGGCATTGAAGAGGGCAATGGATAATTATTTGGATGGAAATGCTGCGCAGGAGTATTGGGAAAGGCAGAGACTGGCATTATGTAATGGAACCAATGCAGGCACAATGGGTCGAATGGCCTCCTTCTGCTCTGTAACATGTTTCAGCCATCTGGAGGAATGCATGGCACTGTGCATGGCACTGTGAGATTGTGGTCAGTGCTTTTTCTCCACTTCACAATGTACATGACACGATCTTCTCTGATACCTCACTCTTACTCTGTTTGTGCTACTGTACCCACCTCTCCCTATTGCCTGCAATATCTTCCCTCACTCACTGTCATCAATCCCAGCCCTGACCCCACTAACCCTATGTCTTTTGCCCTTCGTGCTGTCTAATTACTTGAATGACACACCTTTACACCTGTACCAACAGTAACACCTGTGCCACCTACATTCATCTCCATAAATACCTACCTCTCTCTCATTCCAGGAGAAGGAAAGGGCACAATTGGGCAAGAGGGGTGATAAGCTGCTTTACATTCACTCCTTACCATTTATGATGTAAGTATCCTGGCTGACTGCCCCAAATGATTGATGGAATCTTTTTAAACCTTTGAAATGGTATTGAAGGCTGCCATTGACTTACAGTTGTTGGAACCCTTGCTTTTTAAAATTTTTTTTGTTATTTTATTCCTTTTATTAATTTTGGTTTGGAGCTGAGAATTGAGAATTGAGAAATGTGAGCTGAAATTGACCTTTAGACTGTGGGCAACAGCTGTGTAAAATAAAACAGAACCAACAAGTTTTAATTTGTTTGTAATACCAGGTCCAGAAGTGTAGGTTGGTTCTTGATCAAAGGGTTCTGCAGATGCCTCAACATCGTGGAAGAGAAATATATTTAAATAGATAGAAGACGTTGGCCATTAACAAGGTTAGTACCTGGGAACTGGTTCCAGAAAGTCCAGGAGAGACATCACGCTCAAGCAGATGGCAGGTGTTGTAACTGGAACCTCATAGGAAGATGGTCAGTCTGACAGAGAAAGGCCAGAGTTTTGAACTGGGTTTGGCACTGTGTTTTCTGGGAAAAAAAGAATTTGGCTTTTAATTCAACAGTATAAAGATGTGAAAGTTTCCTGCCTAATCTCCCATTTTCAACTATTGGAAGTTCAGAGAATAGAAACTAACATCTAAGATTTACTGACTTTCTCCAAGTTAGCTGAGAAAGATGGCCTGATTGACATCTTCAGAAAATCAACCAAGAAACAATCATATTTGGCTGTGGAACAATGCATCATGAAAACCATTTAAGTGGCCAGTTTGGTATTTTCTTTTATTTATCCCTTAACAGTGTTTGTCTATCTGGTTTTTGTGTGAATGGGCCATAAATAAAAGATATTTGGTTTAAATATGGAGACCAATAGATTACTTTGCTGTTTAATTTTGCTGTGCTGAAGTTACTGTGTTGTAAATAAATTATTTGATGATACTATGGCTTTAAGAGGTATTTGGTCCTGGTTTTTTTAATGAAGAAAGGTTGGGACAGAAGTACCGAGCAGTCTGCTCCAAAGCTAATAAAGTAAACAGCTTATGAGGACTGAGATAGTAGGAACTGCAGATGCTGGAGAATCTGAGATAACACAGTGTAGAGCTGGATGAACACAACAGGCCAAGCAGCATCAGAGGAGCAGAAAGGCTGACGTTTCGGGCCTAGACCGTTTTTCAGAAAAACAAAATTTTTTTTTTTTTCTGAAGAAGGGTCTAGGCCCGAAACGTCAGCCTTTCTGCTCCTCTGATGCTGCTTGGCCTGCTGTGTTCATCCAGCACTACACCTTGTTATCTCAGCTTATGAGGACTTGTTCTTTTCAAAGTTGGAAAATAGAAGCAGCCTGAATGGGAGGGGTCAAGCTCCCACAAAACCAGGAATTTTAGTTTTACTTTTTAGTAATTGCCAAGCTCTTGAATCTGGATGTGGAACCTTTTATTCCTCTCTCTGTTACAGCTAAAAGCTGGGGTCTCTTCTTGCAGGTAGAATTACGTGAGATAATCTATCTTACTGAATTTACCTTTGCCAAGATTGTATTTATGGGATATTACTATATTGGAACAGTTGCTGTTTAGTAGTTAAATAATCTATCCTTCTGTTAAGTTTCCAATAGAGTTATGTTATTCCAATTCTTCCTTTTATTTGTATTTTACATATTGTGTATAAATAAAATATGTTTTGCCTCAAATCTGGTAGTTTGACCAATGGAATTGCATCTGGAATGCCTTTAAATTAAGAAAACATTAGGTTATACCGTATCTTCTTAATACATTGAGGAAATTTGGTCTGGTCCATAATAATTGCTTAGTCTTTGGTTTAGGCTACAAACCAATATCAAAAAATGATTACCCACAGAGTCTGGGATTAGTTATTCAAAAAAGTGTCGGTGCTGGAAGCTACTGTCTGATTTGGACTTTAACAATAGTAAACACTGTTAGCCTTACTGTTATTTCTACACCAAAACCTGGCCCAGTTTTTTGGTGTAGTCAGATGTTATTTTACAAGTTTCAATCAACATAGAAGAAGATTTATGTATAATTCATCCACTATTTATCAGGCTGGGACTCTGAATGCTTGAAATTTACTAACAAAAATCAAAGTTGTTCCTACATTAGTTGCAGTCCATTCTCATCTTGCAGACCATAAAAAAGTTTGAAAACATGAATGGATAAATAACATTTAATGATGCCAAGGTGAGTTTATGCTTGACATGTCTGGATGGTGTTGAGTTTATGTGAATACCATAAGCTTCTACTAAAATCACTGTCTTACCTTGTCATTGTGAACAATCTATTTCCCCAGCTTGTTATCCAAGTGGTGAATGGGAAAGTTGATCTTGCTATCTTTCTGATGCCTTTGCACGGAAATAGCCATGATTGTGTACATTAGATTATATATAAGCTGTAGATATAGTGTAAAAATAGTACACCTCTCAACATCAATACATTTGTGGATGAAAACTTGGATTGAAAAATATCAAATTCCATATATCTTTGTAGTTAAGCAAAGAAAGCACATGAAGGATTGAAATAGCTCAAACATCAGATGTTAGTGATTAATTTCCCATTGGTGATCTATATTTGAGGCAGATTTTAGGAAGACAAGCTGAATAAAGATCATAAACACTGAATTATTATGCAGTCACTTACTTATTACACATGTCTTTCTTTGCTGAGACGTCAACAGCTATGTGTTAATCTTTGTATGTTAATCTCATTAAACATGGTGAAATAATTGAATGTTTTTATCTTCCAATATCTGAGATATACTTATTGTAGTTATGTTACTTCTTGAGGAAAGTCTCTTTATTTCGCCCTTTGTTGCTTACTTTCATGGTGTAATGCTGTGGGTGCCAGCAAATTTTATCTCGAAGCTTCTCTAGGATGATGACTATAACAAAATAACACTCACAGTGCTTTCTTTGCATTTAAATGCGTGCATGTAGAAAACTGTTTTTAGGACACCTCTTTGGTGCAATCTGTTTGTATATAAATTAACTTCACCCGAAGGTTGTGCGTTTGTTTTTGTCATTGTACACACAGCAGGTTCTGACTCTCAGCTGGGTCATCAATGGGAGGTGTAGAATTGGAAGCTAAAAATGTCCCTGCAGAATAACTGCAAATGCTACTACTCATATATTACCTGGCAACAAATTGCTCAGTTGCATTACCCGTTGTATGGAAGGAGTCTCCTGTACGTTCTGTCAGCTGGCAAAAAGTCCAGAAGTGGAGAAAATAGCTGTAAAGGAACAAAGGATGGATTGCAGTTTTCTGCTTGAATTGCTAATGGCAAATGAATTGAGATGGCCCTTTATGGCCTTCAATGGATCCCTTGATTGTTTCACACTCATATGGTATGACATCCATCTACAATACAAGAGTCCTTATGTCTTGTATTGTATTCATGGGTGCCACTTAGAGGAGAACACACTCCAAAAGTCATTGATGTTTTGATGTTTTGCTATAACTCATGTCAGCTTGAAAATACCCTGTGAGAAGATGAGTGCATGAATATTTAAAATGCATTTCTGCAATTTTCTTTTCTGTTTCTTTAACGAATACTTTAATTAATTTTGTTTTACTAGACAAATACTTCTATTAGAAATTTCTTTATGATTAAATGTTAACAAATACTAATGAGCTTTTCTTGAGCCACTTTACCTCTAATACTTCCTAACGACTTAATGTGTAAGTTCAGCTTATTAGAATAAATATTCAACCTAATACAATAGCTGTTACCTTTTGGGGCAATGGCAATCTTTCAATTCAACGATGATACCTTCTTAGTGTCATGAGTTTCTGTCATGGGTCTTCATCTGACTAAATGAGCCAATTCTCTTTGATAGTAGCCTTTAGAAAGAGGTAGCTGCCAAGGTATGGGAAGTGCTCTATATATTCCAGAGTCTCCCTGTCAACATATTCCACCTTTCATATATCTGATTCTGGGTTAAAATATAAACCTTGTTCTGGCAACATTCCAGGACAGGTCGAGATTTTTGTATGCAGAATTAAAGAAATAAAAACCGAAAGAACTGCAGATGCTGTAAATCAGGAACAAAAACAAAGTTGCTGGAAAAGCTCAGCAGGTCTGGCAGCATCTGTGAAGGCAAAAACAGAGTTAATGTTTTGGGTTCGGAGACTCTTCCTCAGTTGCTGCCAGACCTGTTGAGCTTTCCAGCCACTTTGTTTTTGTTGTTGTTATTAAAGAAATAAAGATTAGCTTGTAAATCTGGTGTAAAGTGGGCACTGATAATGCAGGAAAGTCAAAACATTGCTGGACATTTGAAATAAAAACAGAAAATCCTGGGGATATTCAGCAGGTCTAGCAGCATCTGTGGAGAAAGAAACACAGTTAACATTTCAAGACCAAAGACTCTTCTCCAGAACCAAACCCCAGAGAAGAGAGAAAAGAAAACCTGCTGAGTTTTACAGCAATTTCTGCTTTTTTTTCCAAACAAGAGTCTTTGGACTCGGAATGTTAGCTCTGCTTTTCTCTCCACAGGTGCTGCCAGACCTATTGAGTTTCTCCAGCATTTTCTGTTTTTATAATGACATTGCAGCCATCCACATATTGTAGGTTATGTATAGCCAAGGAGGTCAGGTTGGTTTTGACTTGGAGATAACAAGAGTTTTCCATTATGGTGATATTTACTATTCACACCAGAGGGAAATTGAACTTTGATAAAATGAATAGCCACTGTAAGGTAGATTGTGTAGTATGAGAGAGATCTGGGAACACTGATACATGAGTTGTTAAAAATGGCAGACCAGGGACATAAAAGTGCAATCAAAGTAACAAGTATAAAAGGAACAAAAACAGAAGTTGCTGGAAAAGCTCAGCAGGTCTGGCAGCATCTGTGAAGAAAAAGTCAGAGTTAACATTTCAGGTCCAATGACACTTCCTCAGAACTCACTAGACCCGAAACGTTAACTCTGATATTGTTTCTTTGCAGGTGCTGCCAGACCTGCTGAGCTTTTCCAGCAACTTCTGTTTTTGTTCCTGATTTACAACATCCGCAGTTCTTTCATATTTAACAAGTATAAAGGCAAGAAGGTAAGATTGAGCATGGAATTATATTGAACCTCAACTTAATACATTTGGAGAACTATTTTCTGTTCTGGTCTCTATGCTACAAAACTGAGAGTGATGCACTGGAAAAAAGTACAGAAAAGATTTTCAAGGAGTTTACCAGAAAGATTACTTTCTGAACTAGAAAATTAAAAGAAGATCCAGGGAAGGCACTATGGGCTAAGTGATCTCTTTTTGTGCTGTAAACTTTCTGTCATTCTAATTGTCAGAAGTCTTTACGATTGCGAAGAGGTTGGTTAGAGTGGATATGAACAAATTGTTCTCAGAACCAGTGAGTGTATGGTTAGGGTAAGATCCAATTTAGGAGGAATTTCTTTACAAAGAGAGTGGTGAGGATGTGGAACTTGCTTCTGTTTGGAGTGGTTGATGAAGGTATCATTGAAGCATTTCAAGGGAAGACTTGTTGCTTAAATAAAGGAGAGCATATAATGGAAATAGGAGCTCGATGCGATAAGCCTAAATAAGACCAGAAAGAGTCCAATAACAGTATAGACCAAATGAGTCCAATAGTCTCAGAGATAGTAGGAACTGCAGATGCTGGAGAATCTGAGATAACAAGGTGTAGAGCTGGATGAACACAGCAGGCCAAGCAGCATCAGAGGAGCAGGAAGGCTGATGTTTCGGGCCTAGACCCTTCATCA